GGCGAAGTAAGGTTGAAAGCTTTACAGTGCTCAATTGTGGTTGATATGATATTCAGTGAAAAAAATTACAAAAGACTGTAGAATAAAAAAGCATATACACGTTAGACAAACAGGTGAGGAAACACCATGTGAGTAACGTAATATCTGACAATAAGAACATAAGAGAAAATTTGAATGTCATTTTTATAATTAGAATACTGAAAATATTAGAAAAAGTTCCAGACTGTACAAATTTAATGTAAAAAATTTGTACATTTAAAAGCAGTAGATAAGAAAATATGAAATTCAATCTCTTATGTGAATTTGTAAAAATATCAAAAAAAATTTGTGATAAATCATATTTACATTTTAAACATTGATATATTAGCATATATGAGTTGTTGATCAGATTTTTTTTCTTTGGTTTTTAGAATCATAAACATTTAAGCCATGATAAAAAGAAATTTTTATACATATATTATTAATGTTGGCATTGATGTTCTCGTGATTAAATATACAAATAATGCAATGCCACTAGTAATACGTAAATGAAGTAAGCCATAGTAAATAAATAACTATTTTCATGAAAAAACAAAATTTACAAATTTGAAAAAAAGAGTATACATTTTTTGACAATCAACTGCATAGACAATTAGAAGGAAAAAGAAATTGTAAAATAATGAATAAAAAATAAACAAAAAATGAACAATCAATGTCATTGACCATAATTTTTTTAAAAAAAAATTACACAAACAATAATTACAGATGGTTTGTGAAGCAGAATAGATAAATGTCTTAAACAAATTAAATAAAAAAATACTATAAAAAATAGTTGATAATACATACCACTTGGTTTTGCAAATGCAATGCTACCAAAATCTATAAATTTTGCACAATCAACCACCTATTTAGTTTACAAAGAAAAGTAAAGAGCAGAAATAATTGTATGACAAAAGAAATAAAAAAACTCAATAATTCTATTTTCTACTAAAAAAAACCTATCATGAAAATAATAATAAATGGTATAAATTGTCATTGTAAAAATTATGTAAAGCAAAATACATAAACAAATAAAAAATAATAAATAGAAACATAGTGGAAAAGACCATTAACAACACACAGGAGCAACCTTTGTTAATTTTAAGCAATGTAGTGCTAAAAACTTTATTGAGCCAACAACTTTTTACAATTCACACAAATGTTAAAGAATAAAAATTATATGTAATTTAAATGTGTACTTGTTTTTACAAATATAAGGAAACAACAATAACACTCTCAAAGTAATAAGAAAATAAACACATTTAAGGCTTAAGATTTAAGAGTATTGTATGCACTAATCTCACAATAATCTTTGCATATTATTACTCGATCAATGATAGATTGCAATTAAATAATAATAATTAGCTTATGGCTTGAAGGAAGTTATAACTCATACTACGAGCAACATAGATATGTAGATATTTATTATAAATCCAACAGAGAATCATTTCAAGGCACACATAAGCATGCCGGACACAGTGGAATGAGTAGATGCAATTCCCAATCAAAGAAGAAAAGCTCACACAACCCATTTGATGTGTTGCACACTCAAACAAAGAATAAGCCTCATCGCATTCTACTCAAACCTAACTAAAAACCAAAAAAGCAACCAACCATGTGTTACCCAAAGGGTGTAACGACGTAGCATAACATGGAAAGGCCAAAGGCCCGCTTCTTTTTTTTTTTTCATATCTTACCACGTGGCAGTTTAACAGGACAATACCGTGGCTAAATATGGAGCTAGTTTTGGATCTTATTTTTATACAGATTATAGATTTGTATGTCACACACTATCACACATGTATCATAAAATATACAACCATTTCGAAAAAGAAAGTAAAGAAATATTTTTACTTTAAGCTATCAACCATGATGTAAAAAAAATTCTTTCTTAAATAAAGTAAAGAAATAGCTTGCATAAAAATTAAAACCATAAAAAATTTTGAAAATGTTATTTAAGCTACATGGTATATCTAATGATAAAAATGCCCTTGGTGCTACAAAGTGCCTTCAATGCTACATATTCCATGGTAAAAACATACCTAAAACTATGACCTTGCTTCACGATGAATAATCACATAGCACATTGTATGAAAAGATGCTCTTCATGCACTTGAGCATATAGTTCATTGGTTCGTGCATGATCTTTTTGCTTAAAGAGTAAAGTTCAAATCCCCCTTCTTAAAATAAAAAAAAAATGCTCTTCATGTTCTTAGGTCTAAATGACATAAGTTATGATTCTAAAATTACATAGCATACCATATGACATGGCATAACATAGCATTTCCTAAACTACTTGTCATACATTGATATGGTAATCTCACAAACCTATATTGCATACTATCATTATGATAATCTTAGTTTTAGCATGTTATCATGTATACTAATACGTTTACATGGTAAACGTTCATGTGGACAAGTTATATCAAATATTTTTTCATGTGAGGATCTAGATTTAACCAAAATTAACTAGCTTGGATTAGGGTTCAAAAGCTGAAGTTTGCAATTGACTATGAATAAGTAGGGCAGAGCGATTTGTTGGAATTATGATCTGGATTGTTTGGATTTGGCTTGTATAAAATCAAGGGTTTATTGATTCTTCTAGGGCTTTGAAATTATTTGGACCTTCTATATTTTAGATTTTATAGATTCTCCATATATACTAGAACTTTTAAACCTTTTCTAATTTTTTAATTTTGTGGGCTTTTCGGATCCTCCGACTCTTTTGGATTGTTTGCTATTTTGGATCATCGAATTTCTCTGTAAAACTTTTAAGTGCTTTAGGAAGAAGAGAGCATTAGCATTAAACAAGAGAGAAATTCAAAATGCTTTGAGGTGTCAGAGAAAATGAACGGTTGAGATTGGAGGCAATTGATAGCTTGAATTTGTAGAAAAATCTAAGATTAATCATCTAGAATTGATAATTTTGATAAAAATTATCATTTTGAGAGATAATTCATCAAATAATTTTAAAAATTAAATAAAATCATCTTAAAATACATAAATATCGATCAACATTAGAGAGTGTCGATCACACTCTATATTTTACCAAATTCATCAATTTTCAAAATTCAAGATAGATTCATCCTTATGCAATTCATTCAATCTAAGTTGATGGATATTAATGAGTGTGGATCAACATTATGAATTAGAAAAAAGATAGTTCATGAATAAACTGTCTAGATTGTTTAAAAGCTAACAGATCAATCAACACAAGGTAGTGTAAATTTCTGGCACTTGGCCGATGGACAAAGGCAAGCGTTGATAGACCATCAAAATTTCACTTGAATTCGAAGAAAATTGGGTGTAAATTTTGGTAATTATAGCAACTATCAGGAATATATTGTCCCCAGTGTTAGGGAGGTGTGACGCTTGCTTGGTGCACCAAGTGCCCCCAAGTTGGTGAAAGGCCTCCTAGGCCTTTGGTTGATTGGGCTAGTGTCATACAACCCTTAGCCTGTCCTGCTAATATTCTTTTGAACAAAGGAAGATTAATAAGTTTTGATAGACAAAAATGGGATGGAAAATATTTATCTGTCATAGAACCAAAAACGATAGATACATGAAATCCACAAATTAATTTTGCTTTCATTTTTTAGAAAGAAACACTTGATTTTCTTTTTCTTTTTCATTTTATGTTGTAGATGGTGAATTGAACATTTTTATCTCTTACTTGGTTTTTTTCGTATTAATGATAAAATTTTTTATTTTTAATTTTACACATACATATATATATATTCACATAATTATATTTCTCAAGACTACAATCGAGTTTAACCATTCAGATTAAAATGAAACTCTATCTCCTTTGTATTAAAAATTGAGAAATTAATGTAACATTAATCGTATCAAAATTTTTGTTGTTTTTCCAAAACTTGAAACGACGAAAAAAAGGAGAAAGTACAGAAACTTTCATGATTCCATGCAGTCTGCTTCAAGGTAAACACATCCTGCATAATTGGCAGACATGGGTTCCACGCCTCCACCCGACATCAAACCCAAGTTTCTGTCTAGGCTGGCTGGGCTTGTGAAATTGACAAGCACCAACCGTCCTACCGCTAATCATTTTTGGGCTTTAACCTTAATTCCCCCTTCAATCAAGTTCAAGTACTCCAATGAACATTGAACAACTACTTACATTATTTTAAATTATTTTAAGTTTAGATCATTTCAAGTCCATATTCGAATTCAAGCCATTTCTAGATTAAATCATTCATTTTTTTTTTGCATCCATTCAAGTTTATGTCAAGTTTGAATTACTTTTAATTTTACCTTAAGTTGAATCGTTATATATTTAACTTGAGCTGAATTCTAAAATAAGAAAATGATAAAAAAAAATAATGCTTAATTTAAGCTTACAGTCAATAGAATTCTAAATCATTTAAAATTTTAGTCAATTTGAGCTTTTAATTACTTGAATATTTATGTAAAAAACGCATAATAACCTTTTAATGTTTGAACTATCAATGGAATTTGTCTTGAATAATACTTTTGAGGAAAGCAATAAACTTTTGTATTATATATTATTATGAAAATTTATTCATTGCGTCTGATGGAGACTATGAGTATGAGGATGGAATTATAATTTTACTTAATTGATGAAGAGAGAAAAAGTGGAAAAAGGTTGGTCCTTTAATCTAATGAGTAATTAAGTATTATAAAGCTCAATCAACCTTAGAAGATTTCTTCCCCTATCAAGCAAAGGGCAAACAATGTTAATATGTTATTGCAAAACCTGACTTAACAAGTAAGGCTTGTCCTATACCCAACATGCAACAACAAAAGCATCTAACTTGACACCTATTGGACCGTCATATTCCTATTCTTCATCAGGGTCCGAGTTTTCATCTTCAATGGACAAAACGGTTATTCTCCTTCAAGTGAAGGACAAAACAGGAATGAGAAATGAGCACGCGCACCCAATTGGAATCTCCCACGTCATCCCTAATCAGTAAAGAACGTTCGTTGGCAGAGAAAACTAAAATAAATAAATAAATAAATAAAGTCATTTAAAATCACCAAATCGAAGAGTCGCAAAGGAAAAAGAAGAACAAAGGAAATCTCTCTCTGTCTCTCTCTTAGGGCTTTTGCTTTTCTGTGGTTCAATCCTGGGCGATCTGGTCCATAAATTCTAGGGTTAGGGTTTTGATCTCTTATCTTGATATTTTGTTTCTGATATTTCAATTTTTGGCGTTATTTTTTCCATGGGCTTATTTGCTTTTAATTGATATTTTCAATTCTTTTTTGATTGGTTTTATTTGACCTCTTAAAACAGGGGCTCATCGGATGCGTTTTTGAGCTCCGAGATAGGTTTTGGGAGTCATTTCACCAACTTCTCTAGCTAACAGGTCAGCTCTTTTTTCATTCTTTCTTTGTATCATTTTTCCTCTCGATAGCTGGGTTGAAATATTGCAGTATTATTATTATTATTATTATTATTATTATTATTATTATTTAAATTTGGTATGCTGGATGAAATTATTTCTGCATGCATGTCAAGGGTATGTTACTTTTTTTTGGGTATGTTTTAGACTGTTTAATTTTGAGTATTATGGTTGAGGGAAAAATATATTTGTGGGTATAATTCTGTTGTTTGAAATTATTTTAGTTTTCCTTGTTCACTTGGTGTATGTCTTTTGATGTTTTTCTTGATTTTGATGTTAGACGTGGGCGGGGGGGGGGGGGGGGGGTGGGGAAGAAGAAAGAACCTTCAGGGAATTTTGAGCGAACAATCAGCTGAGAAAATAATACTCTGTGAGAGAAAAAGTTGTATGCGTAGGCAGGAGTTTTCCTACACAGTGTTGATGAATTATTAGCTGATTGTGAACTTGGAGAGCTGCATTTTCAAGCATTGGAGAATGGTTTGAATCGAAATAAGATGTTTGACGTTCATTTTGTTGAAAACTTGGAAGTCTTGTTTAATTTTTGTATCATAGTCTCCATAATTCAATTTCTAGTTATTCACCTACATTTTTCTATTTCTTCATCTTTACTTACTGGTCTTTGTAAAGCAGTGCTTTTTGGTGGAATCAATGTTTAATTTGTAGGGGAAGTTTCCTGCTTTGCAAAATTAAGATAGTAGTATTTGTTTTTCACTGTTATCTTTTAGTTCATGAATAAACAGACACTTTACAGTAACGGATACACTCTAGTGGCTAATGCTTATATCTTGTAGAGTTCTGCTTTTTTATTTGCTTGATTGGGACTTGAAAAGGAATAAATGGGCATTATCAATATAATACGGTTCATTTGCATTTACTGATGACTTCATGTATTAACTGTGAATTGCCCCTGGTTCTTAGCATTGTCAATTTTACTTGTTAGATTCTCATATTTAAATGTACTTGCTACAGGAGAGGTGAAGAAATGGACCATGAGAAGACAGGATGCCAAGCTCCTCCTGAACGTTCTATTTTGTGCATAAACAATTGTGGTTTCTTTGGAAGTGCAGCAACTATGAACATGTGTTCCAAGTGCCACAAGGATATGATATTGAAACAGGAGCAGGCTAAACTTGCTGCATCATCTATTGATAATATTGTGAATGGATCATCAACCGGCAATGGGAATGAAACCGTTATTGCTACTGGTGTAGATGTGCCAAATTCTCTGGAGCCAAAGACCATCCTAGTTCAGACATCCTGTCCATCTGGCTCAGGAGAGAGCATAGAGGCAAAGCTGAAGGAGGGTCCTAACCGTTGCAGCACTTGCAAAAAGAGGGTTGGTTTAACAGGGTTTAAATGTCGCTGTGGTAACCTTTTCTGTACATCACACCGCTACTCAGACAAACATGATTGCCCCTTCGATTATCGCACTGCTGCACGAGATGCTATAGCTAAAGCCAATCCAGTTGTCAAGGCAGAGAAGCTTGATAAAATCTAAGTACAAATGGGATGAAGTTTCATGCGTTGAAGTATGTTTGCTCATTTTCCTCCGAGAGACTCTTTTTGAGTTGGCCACATGTCGTATCAGGTGTCCTTATTTATTGTTATATATGCTGGGAGACAGGGCTATCTAGGACATCTATGCACTATGAAGAACTCTATATCTTGTGATTGGCGAGAATTTATGTGTTGGCATCGGTGTGTCTTAATCTGTGGTGGTTTGATGTAGTCTGTCATTTGTATGTTTCATTCTGTTTCATATGCCATTTCACTTTAGTTCTGGTTGTTAAAATGGTGTTGTGCAATTTCAAGATGATATGAAGATGATCGTGGATGTTCTCGTGGGTGGCTGTGTAAATTTCAAATATGCTTCTCATTGCATTATCCTCGTATTATATTTTAAAGTCCTTGCCAAATCTTGTACTTATATTTGTGGTGCTTGACGTACATCAATGATGATTTGTGCTATTAATGGCATTTTTTTTTCTTCTTTTTCATGTGACCATGTAGTTCTCAAGAAGAAAAGATTTGAAAACTAGCCATGAACTTGGAATGTGAATGACGTAGATAAGGCGTGGGGAGTATACTCCTCGTTTCCGCTTGGACCTCCTATTATGCCTTCCATTACCTGGCCTTGAGGATCCACACCTCCATATTTGATGTTTGAGTTAGGAGGCCAATACCCTCAACCCCTAGGTAAACAACGACAGGACGCAGTTCCTCCTCTTAGGAGAGTGGAGAGTTGGTCAATCCGCTAGCCTTGTTTGATGTGGTGTCAGTTGCAACGAAGTATGGGAGGATGGTGAGAATGCTTTAAACGGAATGAAGCCCGTCTTTTGGGGCCAACGGAGTCTGCTATAACAACCGGGATTTAAATTTGAAGAAACATGATTTGGATCTTAAATTAGATGAAACAAATGATGGAACTCCACCAGAGATGACAGTACGTACTTCATTATCGGGTATTCACTATCATAGCTACCTCAACTAGGTTAAAGTGCGCGGCGAAGCAACTTGACATCCTTACATCAACCTAACAACCAACTCAATATTTTCACAGAAGCAATGATTCAAAGGACTTGATTCCATGAGAGATCATGAGATCATGAAACACAATTAGATAATTTGATTTTAAATCAAATTTGTCTAGTTTAATTAATTAAGTAATTTCTATATATTTCTTGGTGAAGTTAAATTTTGTAATTGTACTTAAACCATACGAAGATTTCGTAACAACTACAATAGAACCGAGTCTATTGTGTTTGCACCAAGTCTAAAAAGGACATTCAAGATTAACCTTTGGTGGTTTTGCATCTAACATTCTTTTGTTATTCCCTACTCTTAAGGGAGAGACAACTGAAAATTGAAGTGTGAAAGTCCAAATTATAGAGCCATCCCACTAGATTCAGCTTCAAGATACTTACAGATCCTCTCCATAACCTCTCTGCCCTTCACACTATTTTGCATAAACCTCTCAGCACACCGTTGCTCAACTTTTTCAGCCATTGATGCCAAAGCTGATAGAGGCTTAATACGAATACTAGTCTCCTGTCGACAAATTGTCCAGCCTGTTGGATTATCTGGGTAAGGATCATACCGTATCTTCTCCTCTACCTCTATGAACTTCTGGAGACTGACATTACGGGTTGTAAGTTGCATTGACTTAGATTGGGCATCAACAACTGTCGATTCAACACAGTGGCAGATATCCTGGCCAATGATTTTGCGAATAAACCATGGCCCTGGAGCATGGATGGTAAGAGCACGAGTAGTGTAAAGCCTGCCAGAGTCAGGATCAAGTCTGCGGTTCAATGTGTCAACTTCAAGAATGTGCGACAAGGTACGTTTGTTCTCAGGGTCAGCAAACTTGCGCCAAGATGCAGAAGTTACTCGTTCCCACGGATGCTTGTAAATGTGCTCTTGAGTATATCCTTTCACCATCACGATTTTTCTAAGCCTATTGATAGATAAAAAACAACTTAGTTTACAAAAAAATGTGCATCCATGATTATTCATGCAGAGTTCAATTCTTAATCTCAAATGAAAGCAAATGGTAACTAATGTTCAGAAATCCAGGTAGATTTAAGATCTAGGCTTGCTTAGATGTTTCCGAAACTAAAAAATTTATCTAATCATCATAAAATGCACCTCAGTGTACTTCTCGAATCCGATTTCCAGTCAAGTGTAAATTTGGAGAAACTGACACTTATTATCCATATCAAATTCAAGTATAAAATTCTTTTTGAACATAACATAAAAGCCTATGCTCTTATATAATTAAAATTATAACAGCAATAGTAATGCAATAATTTACAAGTCATGCTGGGAGTGGGAGTCTTCACATTTTTAGCTTGTGAGGGAATCGACGAATTACACAAGCGGATTAAAAGAAAGTATCTTTTTCAATAAAGGGGTAAGAAGAAAATGAAGTTCCAGCAGTTAAACACCTAATAATTGAAAGCATCAACCACATCTAAATACAATTCAGCAGCTTTTTCTTCAACTATCATAGGATCTAAATAAAAGAAAAAAACAGAAACTAAAATTCTGACATGGCCATCAATCTTTCAGTAGCTAAAAGCCTAAATCTAAAACTTCCAAACTGAACAGTAATTTAGCCCAAAGAAAAAGAAAACGTGAAACTAATCGAATAAGCATTCAAATCCAAAGAGACCCAGAAATCAATTACAACAAAAACAACATCTAAAACCCAGAATGGATTCAAAGAACCTTAACAACCTATCAATCAATTGGACCCCCAAAAGCAGAAGAAATGCTAAAGCACAAGCTCGAAACCGTCTTAGAAAGTAAACAGGAAAAAAATCCAACATAATGTAACTTCTCCTATAAGGTAGAGTTGATTAAATTTGTTCATTTTGAAACATCCACGAAAGAATTGTATAAAGAGCATAAAAAAAAAAAAACCCAGAGATGAGAAAAAGCAACAAATGAGGAATACAGGGAGAACAAAACTCACCGTACGGAAAAGCTGCGGGAGGGTGAAACCCTAAAATAGATCTTTACAGAATAAAAAGACAGAGAAAGGATGGATGATATTGACGGGTGGATGTCTGAATTGTAGTACTAAGAGCTTTGACGGGGTGGTTTTGCGGAGTTGGACCGCCTGTGAGCCGTCTCTAACCCAATTTTTCTGTTTTCTTTTTCTTTTTCTTTACTACCTTTGGGGCAACCAACCAAAAAGGAAAAAATACAATCGACTTTGTAGTGTATTTAAAACAAAAAAAAAAAATGTTATTACAGTTTTACTAGTGCTCATTAAAATTGTAAGAGAAAATTTGGATTTTCCCTTTACAGTATATTTTTATTTTTAATTTAAAATTGTCCTTGTTTTTTATTTAATAAAGTGTATTTAAATTAATATATTATTTCTCCCTTTTTATTTTTGGATATCATAAAAGTAGTTTGCTAGTATATTAACACTCACCAGGCTTGCAGAGGCCCGGGCCCTGCCCAAATATTAGGGCCTCAATTCTCGGCCCTAATTGAACAGATAAAAACCTAGGCCTGCTCATTCAGGCCCATGTATAATAATTTTTAAAGTAATAAATAGAGCAAAATATAAAATTCCATTTTAATTTAAAAAAATTATAAAAATGGTGAGAATTAAAATTCAAATGAATTCAAATTGTATCAAAAATTGAAATTCTGAAAAGTAATATAAGGCAACTGAATTATTTTGAAAAAAGATTGCAGGCGGTTGAGTGGAATTTGTTTCAAGCAATTAGAACTTGCACCAAATCAAGCCATAAGCAATCAAGTACAAACAGATATCAAATACTAGAATATAAAAGTAGACATCAGTTCAAATAGACAGAAAAAATTAAGTGCAATAGAACCAAATCCGGTGACAAGCTTTGTCAAGAGCAAACCCAAAAAATAAAAATAAATCAACCTAACAAGAGCCAGGAGGGTTGCAGATTTGATGATGATGATGTTGTTGTTATCGTTGGGAAACGTGAAGTAGGTTTCTTGATCAATTGGCTTTGATGAAGTATATTGAAGAGAAATGGTTGCTGGTGCGGGGTCACTTACTGCATGAAACATTGCAGCGTGGAAAGCAGTCTTGCTCTTTTATTCTCATCGGTAGTTTTTGTCATTTAATCATTTGTTTTGGATGCAAAAGGATAAATTTAATAAAAGAGTTGAGTGTGACTCTCCAACTTTTCGATTATTAGGTAATAAGATTTTGATATGATTGAATTTCTTTTCTGATATCTCATTTGAGACAACATATGATGAATGAAACATTTCATGCTATGATCAAAGTCATAATTTAGTAGAGAAGAGTATCTTTTGAGAGTTATCTTATCGGCATATCACTCTTATTTGTCACATTTTAATATGTCGCATATTGAACATAATATCTTTGAGAATATATTCAATATAATGATGGGCGTTAAGGGTAAGATCAAAGACAACATAAAGGCACGTTAGGATTTGGAGGTGTATTACAAGTGCCCATAGCTAGAATTGGTTGAAACTAATAGAAAGCTTTTCTTCCTTAAAGCCTCATACACTTTAAGTAAGAAGAAAAGAAAAATTGTTTGTATGTGGGTAAAACAGTTGAGATTTTTAGCTGGTTTTACATCGGATATAATTCGGTGTGTTAATGACATGAAATGTAAGTTTTATACGATGAAAAGTCATGGTAGTCATATTTTTTTTTGCAACAATTGCTCCCAATTGGCTTTTGATATGATGCCTAACTTAATTTGAAATGCTATAATTGATCTATCTCAATTTTTTAGAGATTTGTTCTTTATTGAATTATTGTAGATTAGATGAAGACTTTGGAAGGAAAAATTGTTGAAACTATGTTATCTTTATTCTTATTTTAAAATGACAAAATTAATTTATTTGAAAAAGACGGAAAGAGTTTTTAAAAGTGAAAAAAATTCCCCAAAGAGTTTTGAAGTTGGTTTTAAATTGAAAGATATTCCAAAGTCTTCAAATTCTAAATTTTTAGCTGTAAGAATCGACCTTTAGAACATGAAAAATTGATTCTCAATTGTACAAAAAGAAAAATCTCTTTTTTCCATTGCAGGAAAAATCGATTCTCAAATTTGCACATGTTGATTCTAGAGAAATAGTAGCCACTAGACAGAGCAAGAATCAACACTAGAAAGTTGACATGTCGATTCTAGAAATTTTAGAAAGAAAAAGTTAAAAACTTGGGAGAAGAAGCAAGAGTTGAAAATGGATAAGATTGGAGCGCAAAATTTCAAATTTGAATTTTT